TTTCTGGTTGAGGAATGATTGTTGATTGGCCAGGATGTCACAGATAGAGTTTCTTCACAATAATGCCACCATTTTCATCCCCCAGGAGTGCAGACAGGGTCTCAGTTTAACCACTCAGATAAATAGCTCTCCCTCAGCACTGCACTAGTTAGTTCTGAGCAAGGGTCACCGGACCCAAAACGTTAACTCTGATTTCTCTTCACAGATGCTGCCAGACCTGCTGAGCTTTTCCAGCAACTTCTGTTTTGTTTCTGGTTTGCAGTATACACAGCTCTTTCAGTTTTTATTTAATATTTAACTCACTGCCATATCTCTTCTAGGTATGTCCACCTCGAAGAAGTTCTGCTTCTCTATCCGACGGGATTTCCGTTCCAATCTTTTTTCTTGACCATCGACATTAACTTCACTCTCACTCCTGGTGTTTGACCAGATATTTGCTAAGACTCATTTCCATAGTCACATCACATTCCTTAGTGACTGCCTCTGGCTCAGACTCACCCCACATTGATTCCAGCTGAAGTTTCATCCCTCATGCCTTGAATCCTCCCAGGATTACAGGTATGTCCACATGATTCAACATTCCATGGACAGCTGTTCTCGCCGCATCCTGAGATCCACACTCAGTGCCACGCGGCATCACATACATACTGTCGACCTTTCCCTCCAACGGCATCGCAACACACTGGTTCAGGGTTGCACCACTCCGCAGTTTCACTTCATCCTCCGGCTCATTCGCTGTGCTAACAAGGAGCTTTCTCTTTTCTTTTCAGGCACCAAGGCCCACAAGATGCGACAACTCAGAGATATCTATGATTCTCTGGAACCTTCCTCCCCTTCCCTCTGACTCTATCCCCTCCCACAACCCCACCTCCTGTCGGGTATTTACCATCCCTCCTAACCTTCCACTCACCGATGCTGAACATTCTGTACTCAGCAAAGGTCTCTGCTTTCTACCTTAATGAATTTCAGACACGACATGACATTGAACTCTTCTTCCATCGTCTTCATCTCCATGCCCATTTCTTTGGACGAGATTCCTCTCCCCGTCCCACAGACCCCCTCGCACAGCTCCAACACTCTCTCTCCACCTGGACCCCTCCCTCTGGCATTTTACCTGCACTCAATCTGTTCATTGAGAACTGTCGATGTGAAATTGGTTGCCTCAATTTCTCTGCACCCCTTTATCCAATCGAACCTATCTCCTTCCGAAGTGACTGCACTCCGTGCGCTTAGATCCAACCCTGACTTTGTTATTAAGCCTGCTGATAAGGGTGGTGCTGTTGTAGTCTGGCATATTGACCTCTACATTGCACAGGCTGAGTGCCAGCTCTCACATAACTCCTCCTATCTTCCCCGGACCATGATCCCACCATGGCACATCAGGCCATTGTATCAACCATGGTCACTCATTTCATCTGGGGATCTCCTACTCACTGCCCCCAAGCTGTTAGACCTCAGCCCTGCATATGTCGCTTCTACCTCCTTCCCAAAATCCACAAACAGGGCTGTCCAGGTAGATCCATTGTTTCAGCCTGCTCCTGCCCCACAGACCTCATCTTTTCCTACCTTGACTCAGTCTTCTCTCCCCTGGTCCAGTCCCATATATCTATGATTCCTCTTACGCTTTATGCCAGTTTCTGAATTTCCAGTTTGCAGGCTCCAGCTGCCTCTTCTTTACCATGTATATGCAATCCCTTTACACGTCCATCCCCCACTAGCATGGTCTCAGTGCTCTCTCCTTCTTCCTGAACAAAGGCCAAAACTGTCCCCACCCAACATCACACTCCTCCACTTGGCCGAGCTCGTCCTCACCCTCAGCAACTTCTCTTTTAACTCCTCTCATTTTCTTCAGGTCTGAGGGGTGACCAGGTGTACCTGCATGGGCCCCAGTTATGCCTATCTCTTTGTGGAGTACGTGGAACATTCCTTGTTCCAGTTCTATTCTGGCCCCCACCTACAACTCTTTTCTCCAACATGTTGATGATATTATCGATGCTGCTTCCCTGTCTTTTTCGGAATTGGAAAGGTTAATCGATTTCACTTCCAATTTCCGTCCCGCTTTCACTTTCACCTGGTCTTTCTCTGATTTCTGCCTTCCTTTCCTTGACATTTCTGCTTCCATTTCTGGGGATAAATTGGCTACTAATATCCACTATAAACCCACTGACTCCCACAGCTACCTGGACTACGCATCCTCACACCCTGCTTCCTGTAAAGACTCCATTCCATTCTCCTGGTACCTCCGTCTCCATTGCATATGTTCCGATGAGGTCAGCTTCAACAAGTGAGCCTCCAAAATGTCCATCTTCTTCCTCAACCAAAGATTCCCCAGCACCTCGATAGGGCCCTCAACCAGACACTTATTCCACTCCCCTCCCTTGTCCTCCTTCCATGTTCCCTCCAGGACACCCCGGTCCTTCACTCTTCCTTCACTCCCAACACACCCCATAACCAGACAGCAGCACCTCCCCTGCAACTGTTGAAGGTGTAACATCTGCCCATTTTCCTCCTCCCTCCCCAGTATCCAAGGGCCCAAACATACCATTCAGGTGAAGCAACACTTCACCTGCACTTCGCAGACTCTAGTCTACTGCATTCGCTGCTCACAGTGTGGTCTCCTCTACGTTGGGGAAATGAAGCATAGACTGGGTTACTTCTTCACAGAACATCTACATTCTGCTCGCAAAAAAGACCCTGAGCTTCCAGTTGTCTGCAACTTTAATACACCACCCCGTTCCCTGACCAACACCTCTGTCTCAGGCTTGCTGCAGTGTTCCAGTGAAGATCAGCAGAAGCTGGAAGTACAACAGCTCATTTGTTGCTTGGTGACCCTGCAGCCCTCTGGACTCAATATCAAGTTCAATAATTTTAGGGCCTGAACTCTCCCATGTTCTATCCCCCTACTCCACACGCCAGGCCTTGTAATCATGTAGTCTGCCATTACACACTTCCTATTGTTAGCCTCCACAGTCTCTACTAACAGCTTTTCACCCTCCCAGCCAGATCATTACCCACTCCTTTGTCCGTTCAACTGTTCTTCTCTCTCTTTGGCCTCTGTCCCCACCTATCGCTTGCTCCTTACCCCCTCCCCCTACTCTATCTTCTGCATTTAACCAATATTTTCCTAGCTACCATCAGTTAATTTTGATTTCTCTTCACAGATGCTGCCAGACCTGCTGAACCTTTCCAGCAACTTCTGTTTTTGGTTCTGCACTGGCTATGTCAGTCAGGCTGAGTTAGGCTCGACTGCTATCTACAGAGTCTCAATGACAGAGCAGAGATATTGAAAGATTGATAAACAGCAGAGATTGAGAAAAAAAATCACTAAAATCAAGTAGACTCAAGGCATAATTCAAACAAAAATCCTTATAAATGGAATTTATACAAATTTTCATTCGATCTCATTTAGAAAATTATGTAGCATTTAGGACACTGTATCTCTGGAAAGATAAACTTGCCTTCGAGAAAATATGGCACAAATTAATCAGTATGTTACTGAGAATGAAAGGGTTAAATTACAAAGGCATGTCAAATGGAGTTTGGTCACCAAAGTCTTACTAGACCACAGAGCTGCTCTCTTAACAGATGGACCCCTGGTGGGGATTTAACCTGAAAGGCACCATACCTCGGACAAGGGGACAGGTTGATAAAGAGCTGATGTGGAGATTGAACCAACACTATTAGTATCACACTGCTTTGAAGGCCAACTATCCAGCCAATTATGTTAAACCAACCTCCATACATTGAGTAGACTAAGCTTGGAGACCAGAAGATTAACTGGTGATCCGATTGGCATGTTACACAAATGATTAGATTTCCTCTGGTGGCGGAGTCCAAGACGAAGGGGCAGGCAAAACTTTAAAATTTCAGTTAGGTACGGGGTGGTAGAGGAGGCACTGGTTACAAAATCTGCAAGTTATCCTTCATTCTTCTGCTGAATGATCAATAACATCCTGTCAAGGAAAGCACGAAGGCTCCTCCCTCTTTCAGATGTGAGCACATGAACGCAAATAAGCCAAGACCTTTGCATATTTTACATGTACAGGCTAGATGTCCCTAGAGTGAAAGTCTTGTTTTCTGATTGCGATCGGTGAGTGATGATAATGCAACAAAAAAAACAAGTTGCTCGTGCAAAAATCATCATGGCCTGCTGACACTAGAAAACCATGGAGATAGGTTGCAGGTCCTCTCTTAAAGGAAAGTTGTTGCTACACGTTTGATTTTGAGCAGTGATGTTCGGACGGAGCTCCATTAGCAGGTCTGCTTTTGGCTGTTTTCAATTGCTGATTGGCTGTAGTTCGTTGGTAATCTTTCCCCACCCAGTCTTTACATAGTACCTTGATAGATAGAGAAAAAAACAGGAAGTGTACAGCATTATACTCACACAAGCCAAATGAAACTACCCTGACTAACTACATTTCTAAGAGGCTGAACGTTGCGATTCGAACTTTATACTCAGGAAAATTACTATTGAAAACGACAAGACTGTTCCGGGTTGTTTAATGCATCGTTTCAGAGCCCAAGGAGAGCTCGGGTACGTGAATAAGGAGAATAACCCATTCAGTTCCTGATAACCTTGCAAATATACTAAGAAAGGGGAGGGGACGGGGATGAGCAATTCTGGCACATGACAAGAAATCGGCTTGATTTTGCTTTTGCCTATAACGTTCAGTAGTTCCTCTTGGGTTGTTCGATTTTCGTCTCTCTGTGTGTGTGTGTGTGTGTGTGTATGTTGTGAGCGAGCTCGGGAACATTGTGCAATGTGTTAGGATGATAACCACCTCTATATTCCACAAAGCTTTCGTCCTGTAATGCAATCACCTTGCAAAAGGGAGGCTTGGACACAAATTGTCTTCCGATCTCTAAAGGATGGTCCACATATGTTGTCTTGTGGATGTGTTCGGTTTTTTTTTCAATAATAATGCCAGTATTTTGTATTTAGCTCCAGACCGTCAACGCGCAAGTGCGATGCAGTTTCCGGTTAGTGATATGGCGTTTCCACCTTTTTTCATTTGAGTGAAGCTTGGGTTTGATTTTATTTTGCCGCCTCCTTTGCATTAGTGCTCTCTAATTCCTACTTCCCAAACCAACCTGTTTTTCCAGCCCGTTGATGCCTTTCACCGCCCTGCTCCACCATGAGTTGGGCTATTGTATGTTTCTTTTCTATGAATTGGTTGGTCCTTTCGGATTTCTTAATGAAACATAATCAGAGAAGGAGCTCATTTGGCCCACTGTGACTCCCCTGACTCTTCAAAAGATGGGATCCAATTACTCCCCCCTTCTCCTTTCACTTTCTCACTTTAGCACCGCAGAATTCTCCACTTTAATGACTTATTCAGTTCCTTCCTGAAAGTTAATATGTTCCTGCTACTCTTTCAGATGATTTTTTGTTTATTTTTCATTCCTAAAGCTGTGCCTAGTGACTGACTGTTCTATCCCTGGAAATACTCCCATCGACCTGTACTGAAATTCCTTTAAAGGTAACACGAACATGGCAGAAAGCAAAATATGTTGTCTTTTGTGTGACGAATGGGGTGGGGCCAGATTCTAGGAATAGATTTGTTATTGCATTTTTGATTGTGTATTTTTAAGACTTTAGATTTGTCAAGATATTGTCATGTGGAATACGTAATAAACTGTAACGTGATAGTCAGGGTTTTTTTTTGACACATGGGAACAAGTCAGATTCGTATGCTGATTATACTTATTTCTTGGACCTAATAGCTTCAGTTGTGTTGGAAAATATCTTGGGCGGGGGAGGTGTTCGTGGGGGTAAGTATTTGGCTTACTTGTGATCCCTTTGGAATTGTTACAGTTGCTTGTCTAATATAACTGGCTAGTTTCACCTCCCACATTGACCTACTTTCTTTTCACTTGTGGGAAATGGGACTTTAATCTACATCACTTGCTTAAAGTTAAACATGGTTCTTTAGTTGGGCCACCCACTTTAAGCACAGTCCTGTGTGCAATCTTTGGTCAGCGCTAAGCTATTTACGATTTTGGGGAAAGAACAGGTCTGTTTGCAGTGAAAAGGTCCTGGTTTAAGTCTTTGTCTGTTATTCTTGACTGAGTCAGTAAGGATTGTCATAATATTTAAAGGGTGCTGCACTTCTGGCAGCAGTCTGTTCAAGAGCTGTCTGATGAATGTTCAATCCCCCACTCTCCCTGCCACCTCTTTATTTCAGGGCCATAGGAGGTTAGATATTTATATACTTGTAAGTTTGGTTCCAGATGTTCAATTCTGCTATTCCTTCATTCTGCTACTGATAGCTGCACCATCTGTTCTCTAGATTCTAAGCTCAAGCATTCCCTCCCTAAACCTTTTGAATACTTTAGTCCTTTTTTTAAGGTGCTCTGAAAACCTACGTCAGTCTATACTTTGGTCACGTGTCCAAATAGTTCAGTGGATCATTGTCAAATGTTATTGTCTGTCTGTTGTGGGACATTTTGCTGTACTTCAGTTGCTATTTTAAATAATAAATGTTGGACATGAATTTGCCAGCATGCCCTGGTGTCTCCAGGAATTGTAAGTTAATCTGTCAAGACTCATTTCTGTCAATGCAGAAGATGAATTATCGGCATTAAGGTGCCAGTGTTCAGAAAGAAAACAAAAGAGTCTATTTGTTGGTCATAAATTATTTGGTGGGTCAGAGATGTGGTTGCTTGACTGACAGTCCGGGAAAGAGCCTGGGAGGTAAAAGGAGATTCTGGGGTTCACTTTACAATTAGCTTGGGAAGGTGCTGTGCTTTGAGAATGGATGTGTTAGCTGATTATTAGCTTCAAGAATACATCCAACCGGAATTGGCAACTGTACAGTCAGAGTCTGCTAATTTGTATGGGTTTGCATATTCTGCCACAGGCTGTCTTGCAGGGAGTGGTACAAAATTTATGGGAAAAGTCCAGCTCCTGTTGCAACCTGAAGATGTGTCGCTCTTGCTCTCTCCCTCTCCCTCCCCCCAAGTGAAATTTGTAGCTTAACTAGTGAAGGGTTATTTTGCACTCTGATGTTAGAGTTCACTCAATTGGATTGAACAATGTCTCATGGGTACACTGTCGTCATTTTAACAGCTTGTCTTGTTAGATGTGGAAAATAATTGGTAGATATTGCACTTTGAAGACTGTGTTTTAAGGTCATTTGTCGTTGCTCATTACCAAAGCTGACTCTCGCTGACAAGTCATCACACACCTACAAATCAATGTGGAAACTAAGTGGTGTAAGCTGTAATTCTGATGACAGGGTCCTTGCATTTGAGGAATAAACACATCCTATTCTTCTGGAGCATAATATCTAGGCTGGTAATCCCAGTGCAGCACCGACTGAATGCAATATTGTTGGAGAAGCCCTTTTTCAGATGAGACATTATAAGGAAACCCATTCTGTCTTCTCTTGCAACTGCTCCTATTTTGAAGAAGAATGGTGTGTTTCCCTCGGCTCCTTGCCAACACAGATTAGCTGATTTACAGTGCTCTTTGTCAGAGCTCGCTATGCACAAACAACGTTGTTTCTGACATGAAAACAATAACTGCACTTCAAAAAGTAATGAATTGTTTGTAAAGTGCTTTTGAGTGCCCTGATGTTGTAAAAGGAGATATAAGTTCAAGTTTTCCCGAATACATCCTATATCTGTCAACCTTATATTACCCTGATCAAACATGTCAAGTTAATTTAAATATTGAATATATTGCAAGTTTTCTTGGCCAAACACAGGCTGGGACTAAGTTAGTTCAGGATGTAGTCCACATAGACTGGTTGGACCAAAGGGTCTGTTTCCATGCTTTATGACTCCATATATATTTATGCTTTCACGAAGACCTTTGGATTATGCAATTTATGCTACGTGTGGGCCCAGTTTGTGAAAAAAGTATTAAATTGTACCAAAAGATCAAGACAACATGTTTTGCTGAAGTTCCATCATATAACTGGCTAAATTTGATATGGAGTTCTCAATTTGGTCATGAAGCAACATTAAAAAGAGAGGGACCTCGATTTCTATAGTATCTTTTCTGACCTCAAACATCCCAAAATGCTTTGCAGCCAATGAAGTGCTTTTGAACTGAATCCATTGCTGTCGTGTAGGAAGTTTGACAGCCTTTGTGCAAGCCCCCACAAACTGTAATAAAATGTATGACCAGATTATGTTTTAAGTCTTAGAGGATGACTATTGACCAGGAAACAAGGGCAAGCACCCTCCACTTCTCATCTGTGAAAAATTGGTCACGGGATCTTTCATAGGGACAGACAAGGCATTAGCATCTCTTCTGAAAGACAGCACCCGGAACAGGGCAGTGCTCCCTCAAAAGCGCCAGCCTGGATTTTGCGGTCCATACTTGAAGTGAAGCTTGAATGTGTGATTACCTTCTCAGATTGGACATCAGTACTACCAAGGTGACACATTCATTTTATTTGAAGCTGACTTGCTATAAGATCACGAGCAGATATATGCACATCCACTTAGAAATTTAGCTGAAACAGAAGAAAAATATTTTACATTATTGCATTTTAAGAAGCTTGGCAGTTATGTTATCATCGTAGGAAACATGGATGATTGATCAGTTTCCATCCTTTACTTTCATTACCTTCATGGACTAAAATGACTTTGTTTAAAGAAAAGGATAAATACTTGCCTCTAATAGCTGCTCTGATCACCTGACCATGTTGAGTGAGCTCATACAACCAATCTGAGCTTAAAATTCACGCCATAATGAGAAATACCAAAAATTCAACCTGTATCTCCAGATTAATTCACACCTTCCTGGGAGTTGCACATTGGGATGAAAGTCAACTGCAGATAAGGCAGTTTGCAAAAAGATGCCAATGTCACAATTAAACTGTATTTCAGGCAATGGCTATTGAGTAGGAAAAGAGAGTTTTTAATAAAATGTATGATTTTGATATCAACAAACAGGAAACCTCTCCCTCCCTGTGTCTCAATCTATAAGTCAGTGCCTTGTGAAAAAGCAGGAAAACAACAGTTTGTACACTTGAGGACATCTGAAAACTTTATTGCTGAAAAAAAATAACAGCACAATAGTTGGAACTTGGTTAATTCCCATAACTTAAGTTTAAGAACTTTAAACTGCAGTTGGCTTTACCTTCCTGTTTATGCTTTTCAACCTTCTATCCCCTGACCCGCACTTCTGGTTTAAGCTTATTGCCTGTGTTTGTGTGTCTTTCCCAAAGTGGCAGGAGTCTGGTTAGCTCAGATGGTTTGCAAAGCAGAGTGACACCAAAAGCACAGGGTCAATTCCCACACCACCTGAGGTTACAACAAAGCTCACTCCTTCTCAATCACTTCCCTCACCTGAGGTGTGGTAACCTCCATGTTAAACTACCACTAGTCATCCCTAATGATAGGGCAGCTCTATGGTCCTCTGGTACTATGGTGACTTTACTAGTCAGTGATAAAATTCCTCTTTTCAAGTAACCTTCCAATTTGGGTCTTCCATTCTGATCTGTTTAGTATACTTCAATTAGAATGTGATAAGTAAATGTTAATATGGAAATAAGATCTGTTGCAACCAATTGGGAGGGAGCTTAAAAAAAAGAGGGAAGCCAATTTTCCCATTCACTCCTGCTCAACAACCAATAAGATTTAAAACACACTAGTGGTACTATAGACACTAGCCCCAATGTGTCTCAATCCCTGTGATAAGCATTTACCTCTTCTCTGAAATTGAATCCATCTCTATTACTTAAATGTGGTTCTCATTGATTACTCCAAGGGTGATGCAGATTTCCCTCCGTCCATCTGATGTTAGCTTACCTAGCACAGAACGATACCGCACAGGAATGGGCCAAATGTGATGCTAAATTAAACTAATCCCTTCTGCATGCCCTTGGTCCCAATATCCCTCCATCCCTTGCATATTCATGTGCTTATCTAAAAGCCCCCTAAATGCCCCTATTGTATCTGCCTCTGGCAGCATGTTACAGACACCTATGACTCTATGTTTAAAAAAGACCTTGCCCTTCACATCTCCTTTGAACTTTCCCCATCACACCTTAAATGCATGCCCCCTAGTGTTAGGCATTTCAAATCTAGGGAAAAAAGATTCTGACTGTCAACAGTATATATGCATCTCATAATTTTATGGACTTCTATCAAGTCTCCCTTCAGCCTTCACTGCTCCAGAGAAAACAATCCCAGTTTTTCCAGCCTCTCCTTTACAGGTCATACACTCTAATCCAGGCAGCAACCTGGTAAATCTTTTCTGCACCTTTTCTAAAGCCACCACATCCTTCCTGTAATGTAGCTTCCACCTATCATCTTGAATATGATGCACATCTGCAAAGGATGTCTCTATCATTACGTTCCATGAAGTAGTGACGGTAGGGAACAGAGTTTCAGACTATTCATACGTATTCGACCAGACTTTGCTCAGTGAGCGAAAGAACAGTTAATTGTCTACCAAAATCACGGAAATAAAAATTGGGGGAAAAAAGTTAGATCTCTGAATTAGTCACATTAATTTTGCATA